CGTGAAGACAATCGTCAACAATGCAAGCCCAGATGAATGTCAACCAGCTGATGATTACCAATAGTCAAGATCGTGTCCAGACAGAATGAGACGAGATAATCATACACGGACGAAGGAGAAAGGAGGGAGATTAGACAAAGGAAAGGAAATAAATACAAGGCCCACTCCTGCTTCGGGCTCCCTCCTCAGTCACCACCTCAATAATCAATAGTCTGAACGAGTACCTGAAGTGACCTCAATGTGCCACGTGGCACGTCTAATCAGTCCCTTATCAGCATTGGAGCAATGTCGACATGAAGACAACCAGGTACATATCCAAGATCTGTCCACAGTCCCGATCTCCTCCCGAATGACGATAATCAAAACATCAATACAAGTCACGTAGCTTCGCTTCGTCAGAACACGTGGCAGCAGCCACGCCAGCCAATGATACACATGGAAGCAGCCACATCAGCGACAGTGCATGGCAGCTGCCACGTCAGCATGCCAAGAAGACAGGTGCAAGCCAACCACCATGCCGGACCAGCAGCGCCTCGCCGAGTCACAATGCCAGCGTCGCAGCGTCGAGCCAGCGTCGCAGAGTCAAGCCAGCGTTGAAGTCAACGCGTGAAGTCAGCATCAATGCCAGACAGAATGAATGTCAAAGCCAGGGAGGTCAACGCTTAAGTAGCGTTGACTTGGGGTCTGGACCCCGGATGCTGCAACCTTTAGCCGTCCAGATCTTGATGCAATGAAGGCCCGGATTGGCCTGAAACTTAATTCCCTTCGGCCGGGACGCTTGTCTGGGTACCTGCGCACAACAAGTGAGTGTATCCAACCAAGGGCCTGGGCGCGGTACCTTTGACTCTACAGTTGACTTTGACCCTTGACTTTCCTGGGTGCAGCGTTTGGTCAAACCGCCAAACGCGACAGACTCAGACCTGGGCGTGTCCTGGTCACACAGCCCAGCGTAGACCAACTTTGGTCTGCGTTGCCTGGGGCTGAGTTCTGGGCCCCAGACTACTTCTGAACAGGGTTACTGCATATGCTCTAATCAATCAATCGATCAATTTGAAAACTAATTAACTACTTTAGTCCCCCGCGCACGTGTAAGATCAGGTTGTCCTGATTCACGTGCGATGTTCCGATACCAACTGTTACATGCCCAGTTGGGCGATGTACATATATAGCCAAGCATCCGCAATGTGATGAAAAGGACTGAATGGACAATGCAGTGCTAGTGGAATCTCAACAAGCAATGTACATCCTGATACATACAAAATGGCACATAATAGTGCAGGGGAAGACTTAGATATAAGCCCTGACCTGACCGGGACTGACCTCTCTCACGTAGTACAAGACAACGCAGCAGAATGCTAGAATACCAATGACTAGCCCAATCAATGTTGCAATACAGACCAAACATACATCATCCTCATCACAAGGTGTGAAGGGGCCTGGCGCTATACACAGGAAGAATGCGCCAGGTCCATATCATACACAGACCAAGAGGAGGGGATCAGACGAGGAAGAAGGGGGAAGATGGGAATGTCGTCAACACCAAGTCTTCGTCACAAGTCCCAGATAATCCCTCGTCAAATGTCTGAAGCCCAATGTCGAGTCAGGATCCAAATGTCACCAAGCCCGCTCTCTCGTAGTCTGCTGATGCAGTGAAGTCAGGTAGCGAGAGGGTGAGAGGGAGATGGTGGACTGAGAAGAGGAAGAAGAAGAACTCTCTCTCCCTCTCATATGCCAGGTACTAAGTCAGGTACCTCAACGACGAGCTGGAGCTATGGCGCCGCAGGTAAGTCTCCCTGGCCTCTGCCCAATCTCTCTCTCTCCAGTACTACTCTAGCTCCTACTAGCGCCCAGCACTGAAGACTACTGCTAACGCTACTACTACTACTGCAGCGCTCTTCCAGAGTGCTGCTGCCGAATCCTGAAGACTACCTCCTGCCTCCTGAACTGCACGTGAAGTGCCTGGGAAGTCCTTATGAACTACCTGCAGCCTGCAGGGCGGGCCAGTCGTATATAGTGCTGGCCCGTCCAGGAGGCTGCTCTTGCCTATGCCAAAACGTGCCAGACCCTGGCGTTGAAGCTCAAACAAAGGTTGTCTTGCTATGTGACACCCGCGGCCTAGGCCGCGGGCATTTCGGCCGCTGCGGCCGAGATTCTCGGCCGCGGCCTCGGCCGATGAGGCCCAGTCCGCGGCCTGTTTTTTCAATATTCCCCCCCCCCCCCTAAAAATACGTAAAAAAAATAATAAAAAATATGGGGGTGTAGGGCTTGGAAAACCCTACACTCCTATATTTTTGTTTTTGGAA